GAGAGAGAGAGAGAGAGAGAGAGAGAGAGAGAGAGAGAGAGAGGGAGAGAGGGAAATTAGAGCCCAGAGACAAAGATGATCTGGAGGAGACAATCAGCCGGAAAAATCAACCTGCTTTTTCCACCACCCCAAACGTCACATACCCCCTTCCTATAGCCCCTTCCTATTTCAGCCCCCTCCTTCTAGGGGAAAAAACTATGGCCAAGCATTTCCTCTTTAATCCTTTAATTATTCCTTCCTGCAAATAAATAGAAAAGATTGCAACCGGGAAGGTAAAAATAGCGCTGCCCCTCAATCAGCTCAGCCGCAGCCGGTGGAACCGGGGCTGGGCAGCACGCTGGCGCGTAGTAGGCCGGCCGGGTGCTGATGCCGAGCGGCCTCGCAGCGAGCCAGACCTGCTCAGGAAGCCCCCGAGCGGGGCGCCCCGCCCAGGCTTCTGTCACCGGCCGTGCGTAGGGGCTTTGCGGAAAGCAGATGAAGCCAGATGTTTGCTCAAAAGTTCAGAAAGTATGACTGGGCGTACTTGGGAAGGACTTGGAAATTCTGGCGGGGAAGACATAGGGAGATGAGAAACCGAGGGTGTGATCGTTATCTTGGGAAATTCATCGTTTGTCAGCGCATGTGGATGGGCATACATTGGGGGGGGATACATTTTAAATTTTGAGATCCAGTCCTGACTTCTGAAAAGAAATGGGAGATTTTTATTTAGCTGCTGTAAAAACTGTAAACCTAGGGTCCTTCACTTAGGTGAATTAGCAGCCACTAAACCTGATGGTTTCAGATTAGGGCCTGTGGCATGTTTCTGCCTCTAAACTCCCACAATGTAAATATTCTTTTATTAACCCTCCCAATGACAGTCTGAGTAAGAACAATGTTGGCTCACTCTGTTATTTGTATTTAAAATGGAGATAATAACGTTTACTTTGGGGAATCAAGTATTCCACAATTAAAAGAAAGAATGTGGGTATGAAGCACCACAGAGATGACAAGACTCCTGGTAGCCATATTCTCCATCCTGAAGGGGCTCAAAAGAAGCTTCCCTCAAAATGTGCCAGTTTGGCATGTAGACTATTTTGAGCTGAAGGCAGTGGAGATCCTTTGGGCTCGAGAGAAACTTTTGCCCCTCCCGTAAGTACCTAGAAGAATCTAAATAGAGGATCTTTACCAGAGTAAATTAAAAGAGAGAAATTTTATCTGAGCAACCCATCAGTATGGCAAGGCAAACACCTCATACCAAACATCTGCTCTTCTTACTGCCCTGTGAATTGCCTTCCTTCTCTGAACTTCCAGGCTCATAGCCCATTCCTTAGCTCAGGATGGCACATATACTTCATTTTACTTTTCTGTGTTTGGACTGCTCAGGCAAGTGGGGTTCCCTTATGTACAAAATTAAATTTGCTTTTCTCCTGTTAATCTCTCATATCAGTTTACTTCTTAGACCAGCTAGAAGAACCTTTGAAAGGTACAGGAAAGCTTTCCCTCCCCAACAATCCCCATTTAGCAAAGAGGGAAGAGGAGAGATACAGAGATGAAAATAGACACACACACACACACACACACACACACACACACACACACACACACACACACACACAAAGACCAGAGATCACAAAGCATGTTAGGGAGTTACACACTTCCATTAGCTCATCCACTCTGCATCAGGGCTAAGATAATAACTTATTAGCACACATTTATTAAAGCAAATTTGTAATTGATGCTACCTCCCCCAAATGAGGGTAGCAACAGTTTTCCTTTTGGCTCAATATCGTGTCCCTGGAGGCTAGCATGGTGTTTGTGGCACAGAGAAGGCTCTCAGAAACTATGGCATGAATGAACAGTGGTCACACACATAGCAGGAGTCACATTGGGTGAAGCTGATGAACACTCCTGCCTCCCCGTAGTTCCTACCTGTAGGTCAGTGTTCTTGGGAGCGTCTCCCTCGAGAGAAGCATGTCCTTGCTAGGTTTTCCCAATTTATATTTGGTGTTTAAGAAATGAAAAGGGGAAAAGAAATGAAAGGTGAAAGATGCCCATACGCAAACTTATTTGAAAGATGCCCAAATGCAAACTCATTTCTTGTAACTGAGTGACAACCTCTCAAAGCCTATTCCAATAAAAGAAGCTCTGAGTCAGCTTGGACCAACTGAACTACCACCAGTAATAAGCCACCATTCCATGCACTTGGGAAACAGAATGAGAACTCAATCCAGTTTTTAATAATGAGCCAGAGTGTTTACAAAGAAACACATCGTCTTTTGCACTATAATCAAAAGACTGCATTATTTACAGAACTTTAATGTTTACAGACATGGCTGGAGGCAAGATAATGTATCAGTTAATGAGATAATGAGTCACAGAAGGAGTAAATCACCCAGAAAAATGTAGTGGAAGTTTGGTGCTTAAACCATATATTTAAGGGACAGTGAAAAGCAGTATCAAATATTCTTTAAGTGGTTAATTTGTTAGATTTAGTAATATTCTCATTGCATTGTTTGGAATATTTGTTAGAGAGTTTAGTTCTAAATATTCTCCTCTGCTCTCTCATAATATTTAGTAACTTTGTTAATCACCACCTACTGCTTTGCTCTCTATTCATATCTGTGCATATCTTTGCCTGTCAAAAAATACTGAGAGTTAGGCTGCATCTTGGTAATCCTTGATCTCAAGAACCTAGCAGAATATCTGGACTGGAGTTAGCATCTGATAAACGTGTGTTGAATACAGGGGCACTTGCATGTGCAAGATGGAAGGATTCAGTGAGCAGGACTGTTTGAATGCTGTCAATAGCTGTAGTTAGATATGTGTTTGAATGCTGTCATAGCTGTAGTTAGATATGTGTGCTGGATCCCAAAAGCATCAGGGACCACTGCCATGGCCTAGCCAAAGTGGTAGACATGGAAAACTGTTGCAGTAATAGGTGAAGGCAAGTGGCCAGAAGGTTCATGGGAAGGAAATTAGACCAAGCAATACCGGAGTTAAGTGAAAACAGTAAAGGCTGTGTGCAATTAGTGTCACCAAGAGTAGCAATACTGCTCACAAAAATGGTTTAGCTGGTCTGGTGAAGGAAGATACTAGAAGTCCTCTCTTTGCTGTAGTCTGTTGCAGGGGACAGAACTGGACCCACTTTGGGAACCAGTGAGAAAACTGGGCCTGGGCAGGAGGAAGTAAAAGGTATGGTAGAAATACTAAATTTGAAAGGCATCTGCCTCAACAGGACTGAGATTCTGGGGATCTCAGAAATCTGGAGAAAGAGGATCACAAAAGAGGGGCCTTGGGAGGTAGAAGCAGGTGAAAAGGCAGGGCAATGTAGGAAGGCAGAGTCACTAGAGCAGTTAGAATGGAATAATTATTTGGCCAAAAAGCCACAGTCCAGCAAATTAGGGGATGACAGTGATGCTGAGGGGCCATCTGGGGAATGAGAATAACAGCAGGAACTAGGGCCAAGGGTGGCAGCCCTGATTCAAGAGCAGCTACAGCAAAAAGTTGGCTGGGGCTTACAGATTTCAGAGTTACAGATTTGCAAAGTTACAGCCTCTGCCTAAGGAGGTTTCTCGTTCTCTTTTTAGAATGACTGTGAAGACTGATTTTACAAGTGGAAAATAATACCTCCAAAGAAAGAAAACAATGTACTTCTTGGTGAAAGTAAAAAATGAGTGAGCTCTATTATTGGTACTTTCTACATGGCTCAGGGGTCAGCAAACAATTTCTATGAAAAGGGCCAGATAGTAAATATTTCAGGCCATGCGTGCCATATGGTCTCTGATGCATATTCTTTTCCTTCTTTAACAACCCATTTAAAAATGTAAAAATCATGCAGCCTGCAAGCCCTAGTTTGTCAACTACCATTTTTAACTATATATATATCGTAAGGTTGAAATTTTTCATCTACTGCCTTATCTCATGTGCTTGTGAACAGAAAAGCATATGGAACCATATGCATGGCTCTGACTCCAAAAGAGTTAGCTCTTTGCTGAAAGTTACTCACTTAATAAGCAGTTGTTTACTTCTTTTTCTTTTTTTCTTTTCTGATATCATTAATGTACAATTAGTTGAACAACATTATGGTTACTAGACTCCCCCTATTATCAAGTCCCCCCCACATACCCCATTACAGTCATTGTCCATCAGCGTAGTAAGATGCTATAGAATCATTACTTGTCTTCCCTGTATATACTGCCTTCCCCATGTCCTCAAACCCCTACATTATGGGTGCTAATCGTAATGCTCCCTTTTCCGCCTTATCCCTCCCTTCCCACCCATCCTCCCCAGTCCCTTTCCCTTTGGTAACTCTTAGTCCATTCTTGGGTTCTGTGAGTCTGCTGCTGTTTTGTTCCTTCAGTTTTGCTTCATTGTTATACTCCATAAATGAGGGAAATCATTTGGCATTTGTCTTTCTCTGCCTGGCTTGTTTCACTGAGCATAATGTCCTCCAGCAAGATCCATGGTGTTGCAAAGGGTAGGATTTGTTTCTTTGTTATGGCTGAATAGTATTCCATTATGTATATGTACCACATCTTCTTTATCCATTCATCTACTGATGGACACTTAACTTGCTTCCATTTCTTGGCTATTGTAAATAGTGCTGTGATAAATATAGGTGTGCATATGTCTTTTTCAAACTGGGCTGCTGCATTCTTAGGGTACATTCCTAGGGGTGGAATTCCTGGGTCAAATGATATTTCTATTTTGAGCATTTTAAGGAACCTCCATACTGCTTTCCACAATGGTT